GATTTATCTCAAATTATTCAGTCAATTAATCACGGAATTGATAGAGATACATTCAAAAAGGATTGTAAAGCACAATGGAGAAACCCAGATGATCATGGATATATATTCGTTAATACTAGAAAAACTGCCGGTGAAAGAGTTATGACCGATATATGTTAATTTCATTTCTTTAAAAATGGGTGATTGGAATAATATTATAAAAAGAAATAGACAATATATCAAAGCTAAGAATAAAATAAAGACCCAAGTTGAAAATAACAGATTACAACAACTTGGATTAACAGAAAATCTACAAACTCTATTTCAACCAATATTAAAAAGTCACGAAGATATTGAAAAGAAACTCCCAAAAACCGATTGAATATGGTGGTTTTATAATTAGGACATTAGATGATATAAAACATTATTTTTCAAATCCAAATCCAGATTTACCCAAGAGCATTACACCAATTGTTGATAATGAAGGGTTATTGTTTAATGGATTTAGAATAAGATTTAGTTCAAATTCACCAATATTCAAAATCAATACAAAAGACTTTATATTTACATTAACAGAAGGATTAATAGATTTAATGAATGGTGGGGATGCTACTATTGCCATTTACAAGGATTTAGTAGCATACTCAAAATTTCTACATGTAATCAGAAAGTCAGGACCCCAAACAAGAAGATCGAAAGAAGTTGATCTATTTATAAGAGTTATTGATCAAGGTGATGAATATGAAGTTGACAAAGGAGATGATGAACGTTATAAATGAAATCGATTCCTTTTTCGGACATGCAGGAGAGGGGGTAATTTTTTTTACCAGATGACAACGAGGAACTACTAAATAGATTAGAAATAATATTAGCAGCAATGAAAGAAGGTCATCGTTCAGACTGACAATATAATGAAGTAAATTGCGTATTAAAAAGATTCCTAGAGAAAGGTATCATAGATAAAAATGATTATAAAAATAAAATTATCCAATAAAAATAGTCATTGAAAAATGCCAAATAAAGAACAATTATTCGATATCACCTCAAATAAATCAGACATTAAATTGCGACTATTTCACTGTTATCATTGAGTTTGGTTTCTAATGCGGCTAATTCATCTGCATTCATACCTGGAATAATATCATCTATTAGCTGTTTAAGATCTATTTTT